CACAATGTGGGGCTTGAACTCACAACCTCAAGATCTAGAGTCACATGCTCCACTGACTGAGCCAGCCAGGCACCCCTCAACCTCCTTTTAAACTCTTGACCTGTTTATCACGTGTTCAGAATGGGCCTGCTCACATGCTAACCATTTTCTGTGTTCTTCATTCTTTGTTGCATCTCAGATCTTACATCTTTTGCCCGAGTGCATCTTTCAGGATTTGTTTCAGGGAGTATTTGCAGGTAGTGAACAATATCCTAGTTTCTGTCTGGCTTCTGACTTCCATTTTTCTTCTGAAAAGATTACATGCTCCTTTGAAGGCTAACTGCCTTGTTTTCTCTGGCCACTTATAAGGTTTTCTCTTCGTCTTTGGTTTTCTTTAGTTTCGCTATTTTGTGTCTAGGAGTAGATTTCCTTTTATTTCTTGTAAAGATTCTTTAGACTTCTTGAATCTGTGGATGGATGTTTTTCACCAGTTTGGGGTCGTTCAATCATTATAATTTCAAACATTGACTTTACCCTCATTTTTGAATTTTTTAATAGAAATATTTTATTATTTGATGGAGAGAGAGAGAGAGCACAAGCAGGGGGAATGGGAGAGGGAGAAGCAGGCAACCCACTGAGCAGGGAGCCTGATGCAGGGCTCCATCGCAGCCCCTGGGATCATGACCCAAGCTAAAGGCAGATGTTTAACCAACTGAACCACCCAGGAACCCCACCTCTTTTTTGATTTTTAAGTGTATGTTAGACCTTGCATTTTTTTTCTCCATGTCTCTGAACTTTTGTGTTTCATATCTGGAACTCAGGTTTGCCCATAACCTCTGGCATAAGTGGTTTGTTTCTATTACCTCTCTGAGTTCCTGTTTTCACTTCACCTTTGGCCTGGGGATTCTTTTCTATCTTGTCAGCTCTTTGATATATTTAAGAAAATGATCTTAATATTTCATTTGTAATTTTTTATTGCCTTCAGCAGAATGTTTGGTCTAAATAACTGAACCCAACATATTCTTGGAACACGGAAGAAATTTTTTTCTGAGGTATTTGCTGTATCAGGGTCTTTTAGAAGAGTTCAAATAAAATTTAATTAGGCTATTTTTTCTTTTTAAAGATTTTATTTATTTATTCATGAGAGAGAGAGAGAGAGAGAGGCAGAGACACAGGCAGAGGGAGAAGCAGGCTCCAAACAGGAAGCCCGATGTGGGACTCGATCCCGGGACTCCAGGATCACACCCTGAGCCAAAGGCAGGTGCTAAACCGCTGAGCCATCCAGGGATCCCCTAATTATGCTTTTACTAACAGTTTCTTGGTGCCTTTTTTAGAGTAGTTAAGCATATAACCAGAGACTCTAGGGAATTAAAAAAAAGCAACCTTGAGATCTCTGACTTCGTTGACAGTTAAATGATCCAAGTCAATGGCTTTAATTGCACTGAGATCCTCTTCAGTACCTCCCTTTTAAATTTCCCCTTGTACAAGTCTGATTAACCAATACTTATAACTCAGTGTAAATATCTCAAAGGCACAAAGTCTTCTAGGAGACTTAGGGAATAATTACCACACCTCTTGTTACTTAGGTCAAAAATATTGATCATTGCATATATCATAGCCACCATGGTATAATCAAATATACCATGGTATACCAGTCAACCAGAGGTAATAGAGGATTCCCCTTACCCAGACCTACCCTAAGGTGGTATCAAGCTATTACCCCCCCCCACTTTTAAATCTTCTTCTTCAGTTAGATAGATAAATTTATCATTTATTGCCATTCAGGGTTACACTGATGACATACTTTAAAATATGTCTTTCAAAATATGATGAGTGATAGTATTTTTAAAGAAATTGAAGAGATCTAGAAGAATTTCTTGGAGGGTTACAAGCAGGGCCATGGCATACCAGTCATGTTGCTTGTGTACCGTACAACCCCAGGGGCTGCCATTCACATCAGTTAAGGGGCCTGGGACCAAGGTGAAGCTTGGATAATCTTTTATGAGTGATTGTCTAGTGGCAAGGTCTAGATTTTACCATTTAAATGCCAGCAATTTCTTTGCAATTGATGTGATCTTACCAGCCATCTTTAGCACTGTGAAAATTTGCTAAGCATCAGTGGCTGTTTAAATCATCTTTCTTGGTGATCCAGATAGCATTGAGCTAACCCAACTTAAACCACAAGCTGAAGAAAAGTTCTAGCTCAAAAAGATAGAAATGACTTTCACATATAATGAATAAGGCTTTCAAAATCCATAGATTTCCCTCTTTGATCAATGATCCTAGGACTTTATGGCTTAGCAGGGTGTTCTCTAGCTTATAAGAAGGCAGTAGGAGCTGCATTATTTTAAATACCATAGAACTTCTATTAGGAAATGTATATTCAGTCTTGAGGAAAGATATTTCAGGCTTGACCACTGAAAGCAGTTTTTTCAGTGGTGTCTGGTCTGTATTAAGTCCTTGATCCATACTCTCTTTTCAAGATGGTTGCTGGAATCACCCCTCATTCTGGCCTTTCCTGCTCTCATCTGAGAATTGAGTATAAGCTCTCTTCAGTGAAAAGGCATGATTTATTTTGATCAGAGGCCCAAGTTACAGCACATAATAGCCAGTCACTGTGTACCATGACTAATTTAACTTTGACCCTATCTTATATACTACTTAGGAGGTCCTGCCCTAGGAGTTGGCAAAGCTCAAGAATGAGTTTGCAGAAATATTGAAATTATATAACAGAATTTTGAATTTGTCAATTCATTTCACCTGATGGACTCAGAAGTTTACTTCCAAGGAGATACCTTCTCAGGAGGCCAGTACTGTGGCCTGGTAGAAAGAGGAGGAGTCCTGTCAAATAGCCACATGGCCTTGACCCATCTCCCAGAGCATATTGGGCTTCTTCCTTCATATGTAGAATAAGTGTATGAGGCTAGGTGAATTCTGAGTTCCTTTCCAAAAATAAAACTGCCCTGATACTCTTTCCAGAATGAAAATTAGGTACTTGCACAGTAAATCTTCTAAGTCAGTTTTACAAATTCTAGGTAGAATTGAGCCAAGGCATTTGTATAGGAGAGAATTTTTTGGTAGAGGTTTGATTCACAAACTATAGATTAAAAAAATAATAATAGCAGTGCTTTTGGAGGGGGAACTGAGTTGAGAAATAAAAAAACAGATTAATTCTTAAACTTTTATTTTTATAAATTGTTTATTTTTAAACTTTTAAAAGAAACTTTTTGTGACACACGCCTAAGTGTACATGTCAATGAGTTTCAGGAACTGAACACACCCATGTAATCAGCACACAGAATTTACCTGTACCTCAGAAACCCCTTCATGCCCACTTCTAATTATTACCCGCATCCCCTTCAAGGATAACCACCCTACCTGCTCTTTGCTCCATCGATTAGTTTTGCCTGCTTTTGTATCTCATTTGAATGGAATTCTGTACAATATGCATTCTTTCATGTCAGGCTTTTTAATCTAACTTTATATCTCTGAGATTCATCAATATTGTGTGTAGCTGTAGCAGACACTTACATTTTCCTCTAGAGAGACATTGCTACATCTTTGCATTCTGGTTCGAGTGACTCATTTGGGAGGGTCAATAATATGCCCTTATGAACAGAGGATAAAAGTGCTGAAGTGGAGAGTCAAACCAGAGGCATTTTACAACTTATTAACACAGTGTATTATTAATGGATAATATAGTTTATTGATTTAAAAAAATGTGAGTCCTCTTTGAAAGGAGAAGGACTTGCCTCCTATCTAAGGCCTTATCATGCCATTTCCAAGGAAAGAATTATCTCCCTGGTCCTGATGATGGCTATGAAGTTACAGGATCCTTAAAGATTACAGCTTTGGGTACCTGGGTGGCTCAGTCAGTCAAGCATCTGCCTTTGGGTCAGGTCATGGTCCTGAGGTTCTGGGATTGAGTTTTGCATTGAGATCTGCATTGCTCTGCATCTGCATTGCATTGCTCTGCATAGGGCTCTTTGCTCAGTGGGGAGTCTGCTTCTCCCTCTCCCTTTTCCCCTTCCTGCTCATGTGCTTTCTCTCTCTCTCTCTCTCTCTCTCTCTCCCTCTCTCTCCCTCTCTCCCTCCCTGTCAAATTAATAAATAAAATCTTAAAGAAAAAAAAAAGGTTGCCAGCTTTTCTCTGAGGCTGAGAAATTGTTTTTTACCCCCATCTTTCCATGCCCTCCTCTCTGAACCCTGCCCTGTTTTACCCTGCACGAGCTAGGTGCAAAGTAGGCCCCTGCCGGCCGAATGAGTGAGGAGGCCCGCTAGCATTTTTTTTTTTAACTGGAGTTCAATTTGCCAACATACAGAATAACACCCAGTGCTCATCCCGTCAAGTGCCCCCCTCAGTGCCCGTCACCCAGTCACCCCCACCCCCCGCCCTCCTCCCCTTCCACCACCCCTAGTTCGTTTCCCAGAGTTAGGAGTCTTTACGTTCTGTCTCCCTTTCTGATATTTCCCACTCATTTTCTCTCCTTTCCCCTTTATTCCCTTTCACTATTATTCATATTCCCCAAATGAATGAGAACATACACTGTTTGTCCTTCTCCGATTGACTTACTTCACTCAGCATAATACCCTCCAGTTCCATCCACGTCGAAGCAAATGGTGGGTATTCGTCGTTTCTAATGGCTGAGGAATATCATTCTTCGCGGCCTCACGGGGCTTCCTTAGCGCAGCGACACTGCGGGGCTGGCGCCGTGGTCGCAGTTTGCTAGATGGGGAAGCCTGGCCCCGGAGAGTAAGTAACCTGCCCAGAGTCCCTCAGACGTCGCAGGCCAGAGCCACAGCCTTGGAACTCGCGCCCTTTAGCATTCCCCGCCGGCCGTGGGCGCCTGGACCCGAGGCCGCCGGAAGCTGCGGTGGCGGCCGGCCTCCTGGGCGCGCTGTGGGCGCGAGTGCCGCCCGCTGGGTCCCGGCCCTTGCCCCGCGCCCTGCGCAGGCTGCGACTTCCGGCGGGCCTCTTCCGCCTCAGCACCCCGCGCCCGCCTCGGCTGCTGGTGCTGCCCGCCTGCCGCCCGCCGCCCGCCCGGCTTCCCCGTCAGCCCCTCACCGTGCGAGACGCAGCCCAGCACAGGATTTGCGAGTCTCGCTGCGCGCCAGGCCCCCCTCCAGAAATTTCCTTAATTGCTCCTCAGTAAATACTTGCTGAGTGAATGAATCCGCGAATGGTAAATGAGGCTCTTAGAGATTCAGTTTGTCTTTTGTTTTTAAAGATTTTTTTTAATTATTATTATTAATTCGTGAGAGACACAGGCAGAGGGAGAAGCAGGCTCCAGGCAGGGAGCCCGACGCGGGACTCTATCCCGGGACTCTAGGATCACGCCCTGGGCTGAAGGCAGGCGCCAAACGGCTGAGCCATCCGGGCTGCCCTTAAATTCAGTTTTGATACGAACTTTGCTTTTTAAAAAATGTTAACTCTGTCCTGATTACTAAAGATGCGAGCAATGATGATGAACTTGTATGTAATAAAGAGGAAATCCTTTTACAGTATAAGACATAAATAGAAGAATATTTACAGGATTCTCTGACCCCTTCTGAATTTTTTTTTAAAGATTGTATTTATCTATTCATGAGAGTCACACACAGAGAGGCAGAGACACAGGCAGAGGGAGAAGCAGGCTCCATGCAGGGAGCCTGACGTGGGACTTGATCCTGGGACCCCGGGATCACACCCTGAGTCAAACCGCTGAGCCACCCAGGCGTCCCACCCCTTCTGATTCTTAGCATAGTTTTCAACCAGGCTTTATATAGTGGTGATAATTATATATGCAGCGATTTGCGTTTTAAATTTCTTCTCTTGATACTTTGCATGTATTGATGTTTTCAATAACCAAGGGACCACCTTGCTTATCTTTTTAAAAAATTTTAAGTGAAGTATAGTTGACATACAATATTATATTAGTTTCAGGTGTACAACAAAGTAATTTGACCATTCTGTACGTTACCAAATGCTCACCACGCTAAGTATAGTTACCATTTGACATCATACAAGTTTATTACAATATTACTGACTGTATTTTTTTAAAAAAATTTTTATTGGAGTTCAATTTGCCAACATATAGCATAACACCCAGTGCTCATCCCGCCAAGTGCCCCCCTCAGTGCCCATCACCCAGTCACCACAACCCCCCGCCCACTTCCCCTTCTACTACCCCTTGTTCGTTTCCCAGAATTAGGAGTCTCTCATGTTTTGTCGCCCTCACTGAAATTTTCACTCATTTTCTCTCCTTCCCTTTATTCCCTTTCACTAATTTTTATATTCCCCAAATTTTTATCATTCCCCAAATGAATGAGACCATATAATGTTTGTCCTTTACTGACTGTATTTTTTATACTGCACTTCTCATCCCTGTGACTTGTTTATTTTATAATTGGAAGTTTGTCCTTCTTAATCCTCTTAACCTATTTTGCCTGTCCCCTCTGGCAACCACTAGTTTGTTGTTTGTATTTATGAGTCTGTTTCTGGTTGTTGTTTTTTCAAAATAACTTTTAATGTAATATGATATCCCACTGGGTGGTCCTTCCATAATAAACATAGGTTTTGCTTTTAGTAGCCAGTGCCCCATCTGGGATTGCCAGTTCTCTGGAACCAGAGTAATTTAAAGGAAGCAGGATTGCAGGTTGCCTTGGTTAAGTAACTGATCTCTTGGGCAATGCTGTGTTGTGATTATGGCATGCTATGATGATATGTTTTCCCCTTACTTTATTCCAGGATGTTTTTCTCTGGCAGGCAGTGGGGCCATGTTGGCAGACTTGAAGAAATTTTACTGATGTTCAAGATATTTCTAATTATCATTTGTCTTCATGTTGTTCTGGTTACATCCTTGGAAGGTAAGGTGCCTGGGTTTTTTTTTTTTTTTCATTTTTTCCCTATTTTATCTCTGTGTATGTGTATTCATTTAGGATTTTTTTTACGATAAAATAAACATAACATAAAGTTTACCATTTTAACCATTGAACCCCTGGCATTAAATATATTCCCAATTTTGTGCACCCATCACCACTATCCATGTTTAGAACTTTTGCATCATCTCAAATAGAAACTCTATACATCTTAAACAGTAGCTCCCCATTCCTGCCCCTTCCCAGTCCCTGGTACTCTCCATTCTTTCTAGTTCTATGAATTTGCCCTTCCAGGTACCTCAGATAAGTAGAATCATAAAGTATTTGTCATTTTGTGCCTGGCTTCTTTCACTTAGATTGCTTTCAAGGTTCATCCATGTCATATAGTATGTATTAGCATTCTACTCCTTTTAAGGCTTAATAATAATCCATTGTGTGTATATACCACATTTTGTTTATCTATTTAGTGTTGATAGACATTTGGGGTATCTCCACCTTTCGGCTATTGTAAATAATGCTGCTATGGATATTGGTGTACAAGTTTGAGTTCATGCTTTCAGTTCTTTTGGGTACATATACCTGGGAGTGGAATTGCTAGATGATAACTTCTTGAGGATCTGCCACACTGTTTCCCACAGTGGCAGCACCATTTTACATCCTACCAGCAGAGCACAAGGATTCCAGTTTCTCTCTCCTCCCCAGCACTATGATTTTCTGTTATTTTGATAATGGACATGAAAGGGTACCTCATTGTGGTTTTGATTTGCATTTCTTTAATTATTAGTGATGTGGAACATTTTTCATGGGCTTATTGGACACAATGTTTGTCTTTTTTTTTTTTTAGAGAAATGTTTACTCAAACCTTTGGCCCATTTTTGAATTGGGTTGTTTGGGTGTTTTTGTTGTTGTTGAGTTTAAGAGTTCTTTATATATTCTGGATATTAAATTCTTTACCAGATAATATGATTCACAAATATTGTCTCCAATTCTGTATTGTCTTTTCATTCTCTTAATAGTGTGCTTTGATGCACCAAAGTTTTTATTTTTGATGAAATCCAATTTATCTGTTTTTACTTTTTTGCCTGTGCTTTTGCTGTCTTATCCAAGAAATCACTGCCAAATCTGATGTCATGAAGATTTCTCCTACATTTTCTTCAGAGTTTTAGAGTTTTAGCTCTTGTGTTTAGGTGCTTTGATCTGTTTTTAGTTCATTTTTGTATATGGTGTGAGGTAAGGACCCAGCATCATTCTTTTGTGTGTTGACATCTGCTTTTCACAGTGTTATTTGTTGAAAGGACTGTCTTTCCCCTTTGGATGGATGGTCTTGGCACCTTTGTCAGAAATCAATTGACCACATATGTGAGGGTCTATTTTTGTTGTTCGTTTTTAGAAGTATCTACTTGAAGGCACTTCTGCATGGAAATGTTAAGGGAGGTAGAGAATCAGTCAAATGAAGCATCATGGTTTTCAGAAGAGAGGGTCTTTAGAATAAAACAAGGAGAAAAGTTACCTAAAGAAGGCAGCAAAAAGGTCAGAAATCCTGGATGCAGCATCTGTAGGTACCACAGCCCAGAAAATACAATGCTATGTAAATAGAATTCTTGCCAGCAATTTTTTATAAAGATTTTATTTATTTATTTGAGAGAGAGAGCGTGCACAAGCAGAAGCAGGGGGAGGAGCAGAGGGAAAATCAGACTCCCTGCTGAGCAGGGAGCCTGACTTGGGGCTCCATCCCAGAACCCTGGGATCATGATCTGAGCTGAATACAGATGTTTAACTGACTGAGCCACCCAGGTGCCCCAGGAATGTTATTAAAAAGAATTATTAAGGGCACACAGAGAAATACCTTTCTTACTCAGAGGAGAGGGGCAGGATCAAGGAATCTTCATTGGAGAAAGCAAGTATCTACGAGCAGCACACACTGACATGTAAACAAAACACCTGCACAGCATACACACATGCAGACTAAATGGTAAACCTCCCAACAGGCTAAAACACAATTGACAATACTTCAAAAAGCAGGCCCTGGGACATGTCAAAAAGCCACAATACTTTACAAAAAGAAACAGTAAGAGGTAAACGTATACTGACTGCTTACAGTGTTCTGGGTCCTGTGTCCCCCCCCCCCCCGCCGTGCTTTATACCTACTCACTCTCTTTAGCTTCTCAACCACATCTATGAAGGAGAGATCCTAGTGTTAGCCCCATTTCCCAAATCAAGAAACTGAGTCTCAGAGAGATAGTAAGTTGTTCGAGGAAGTGGCTGACTGGGATTTGTGGCCAGCTCTGACTTTTGTGCTCATAATCAGAAAACCAGAGTTCTCAAACTCTGAAAACATCAGTTATTAAAATATCAGAATCCCCTGGAGAATTTGTTAAAACATAGGTTTCTGGGTCCCTCCCCCAGCGTCTTTGATTCAGTAGGTATAGGGCAGGACCTGAGAATTGACATTTCTAACAAGCTCCCAGGTGATGTTGATGTGATTGGTTCAGAGACTACCCTTTGAGGAAGACTGCCTGTGGTCCTCAAAGACGTAAGCAGGCAGAGCAAACTCCTCCGGATAAATATCACGGGGTGCAAATTCTGTTGTGGTATTATGATGTCCATGTAAACTATGCTCGCACATCATCTTCTTGGGAGCATTAAAACATCACTGTGGGGTTGGCAGAGCAGAAGTCCAATGTCCCCACTCTACTGATGAGTAAATGTCCCCAGGGATGTGATTGGTTGAGAAGTGGTGGAGCCAGACTAGATACTAGATCTTCAGTCTCACATTTCAGTGGTTTTTCCACCACAGGGGTAGATGAGGAAGGAAAGTGAAACATAAGGGGAAAACAGTCATCAAAACCAGAGCGGCTTGGTAGAAATAAGTCTTTTTGAAAAAGTGTATGTAAAAGTGATTAAAATGAGGCAGGTGAGGTGAGTAGGAAAGTGCATGCATGCCGAGGGCTCCCCATGTCTCTCTGACCAAGAACGATCTATGCCTATATGACAGTGCGTGGAACAAGCCAGAAGTGCCAGGGAGCTAACCCTCCAAAATAGTGAGGGATGAGAGTTGGTGTTGACTTGTGCCAGCTTCCTTGTCCCTTGCTGAGATGATGCTGAGCTGTGTGCTACATACCTAGTAGATTGTTGGATTGTGTCCCAGTTGCCCACAGCAGTGACCCACTCATTAATGTACCCATTATTGGCTTTACTCCCTTCCCTATCTTCCTTCCCTATTCCCTTCCTCTGCTTTCTGAGGTATCCCCAGTTGGAACGCATGCATCTTCCAAGATCCAGCCAAATAGTACTACCTCTATAAAACCTGCCCTGATCTCTTCAGAAGAATTAAATCTCTCTCTCTAGTGCTTCTTTTTCTCTTTATCCATATCTTTTTATACTTTTCACTTATATTACAGCATTAGGTACGTCCTTTGCATCACGAGTCCTTTTCTTGCATTGTCAGTGCCAGGTGAGAGAGGAAGAGGAGGTTTTGGTGGGGCGGGTGGGAAATGAATGGGAGGAAATGTAATGAGGACGGAGGACTTGCTCTGGGCCAGGCCCTGGTGGATACTTTATGTATATCATCTCATTTAATCCTCACAAACACTCATCATGATCGATAACTTTTAGTCTCAGTTTGCAGATGAAGAAACTGAGTGTCAGAGAAATTAAGTTATTTGCATAGGGACTCCTAGCTCAGAGGATTCCCCATTAGACTCTGTAGCTGGTACTGCTCATACTCCACGAGGCTGCCTTGCAAGTGTCTGAAGCCTGAATATACGTGTCACTGAGGTGTGGAGGGAAGATGGAGAGAGAGCCGGGGTAAGCTGCCAGAGAGCAGCCATTTCCCCTGGCTCTGGGGGATCTGGACTACAAACACAGTAGCTTCACCCTGGAAGCCTGAGACATGACTCAGTAGATCTTGACAATAAGAAGAGGTAGGTCTGACACTCTCTTGTTAGGCCGCTGGCCAACAGAGAGAATCCTTAGACCTTAATCTCTCAGTTGTGTAATTTGGTGATGTGTGAGGGAATCATCCCTGGTCTACCCGAAGCCCACATGAGCTTTGATAGGTAACTATACTTCTCTAGCCTCCAGTTCTTTCTGGCTGTGCCAGTGCCTTTTTTCTTTTTTCTTTTTTTGTCTTTGAAGGAGGTCTTCTTTTAGGTACAACTATTTTCCAGAGGATGAGATGACATAATAGTGGAAGATGGTTATAATTTCATCCTTGCAGAATTGTCTTCCCCATTTGGAAACAATTACACATTTGAGCCAGTTTGGTGAGCTCATGAGCTATAATCCCCAACTTTCTCTCTCTGGTCTGGGCCTAGATCTTTCTATGCTGCAGGCATTTCCAGTGATAGGTTCCTTTATAATTCCCCTCTTCTAAAACCTCACTATCTTGTTTCCTCTTACCTTCTCATGTTTTGTCCGTCAAAGTCTTTGTTCTAACTTAGGCAGCACATGGTAAAGCTATGGGAGGGTGAACTATCATGCTCCTAAAAGGCAAGGAACCTGTCTTGTTTGGCTTGGTCCTCCAGTACCAGACTGGGTGCTGTACTCCTCTCTCAACTCTGTGCAAATGAGATGATAAATACCATGGCATTGATCTGATGTCCAGCCAACCTTACAGCCTCCCACATTCCCACTACCCCCACATGGGCATTGGGCCACTTCTGGTAGGCCCTGACTCTTTCCCTGGCAGGTAGAAGTGGTGACAGGGAACAGTAAAGGCTCTGGATTGGTTGAGGGGGAAACTGAAAGTAGAGGCCATTGTGTCCCACTCTCCACTTAGAACTCCTCGTCAGAGCTCATAGTAGCCTGTACATCAACATGGGGTCCATGGTAGAGATGAGAGATGGTGACATAGTGTCTTTAGGTAGACAGAAGGCTGGAGACAGTGTCTCTTTCAAGTCTTTCTTGTCTCTTGTGGGCAGGGTAGAGATTCTAAATGGCCCTCATGTTCCTTGTGGGTAGCTGTGTTATGAACCAGGTGCAGGGAC